GGAGGCGTCGCCGTCGCCCCCCTCCGCCAGCTCCGCTGGCTCGCTGCCCGCAGCGCCTTCGGTCTGTGCACAGGGCCTTTCCGCCGCAGCTCTCGGAAACGGCATTTCGAGAAGGAGGCCGGGGGTTTTGCGACGTTGGGGGTCGCTGCGCTTCTGCAGACTTGGGCATGCAGCTGGACTTTGTGAAAGGCGGCAGCCCAAATACGAGCTTGTGAAGTCCAGACCTGGATCCATTAGCAGGTTTGGGAGAGTTGACTTGGGTGTGCAAGCTTATAACTTTAGTGCTGGTAAGATATTTTCATGGATATGGTAGAGTTTGTTTATTCTGGGGAAACTTACTCTTGTGGTCACAGGTTTGTAATGCATCTAGCTTTATAAATAGCCTGTTTAATGAAATCTAAACTAACTTTACCAGCTTTAGTGGGCTCTTGGTGCTCAAACAGAATCATTTCATGAAATTGAGGCAGAGGAGTAAAAACATGCTTACATTCAACCAGTTAGGGGTAGAACCCAAGATAAACAAAAGTCTGTTATGGCAGTAAATACCGAAGATCTGCATAGTAGTGCTTCTGTTTGTATTTATTCGAGAGTAAGACAAACTTGCTCTGATCACATCAGAGATGAAACCTGGAGCACAATCGTTTCTTTGCAAGTCAAGGAGTGCCTAGGTGATGTTCCTGGAATGCTTGGTAGAACCTTGAGTACTGGTAGAAAACTGGAGCAGAACACTGTTGAAGGACTCTGGAGAAAAGCCAGATCTCCTTTCTTTCTGCAGGGCAAAGTACAGCATTACTGATCTGTAACATCATTTATAAGCTCAGGGGCTGGGTGTGAAGGGAGAATGTTTTCAGTTGCTTTTCCTTTCTTTTGAAGGGAAGATCTACCTTCTGAGCTTGCTTCTTTCTTTTGTGGGGTTTAGCAGATGTTGTTTAAACAAGGTTATAACACAAAGTAGTATTTTCTTTACTTGTGCCCTGACTCTGAGTGATAGATTGCTTATAAACAGGTATTTTCAGTCATTGAAAGAGAGGATATGGACAAAGGCTGGACTGAAACGATTCTTGGGTTTTTACTTAGTTCTTCAGGAACTAATTCCATATGCTAAAGGTAATTTAGGGAATGAATAGCATTTTGTGCTGCTGGAAGTGGCTATTCTGAATGCTAAATACTGTTACAACACCTGCCTTCTTCAGGGAATGCTGTATGTGATGTAGCAATATGACACAATTATAATCAAAGACTGTTGTGCTGGTGCTTTGGCTCCAGATCACAAATGGATGTATCTGCAACAGCTAAAGTGATTATGGCTCCTTCTTTTCTGCTGCAGATTATTACCCGCACAGCAGCCTTGGCAGGGCGGGTCATGTATCTGTCCCTGCGCTGCTGCGTTTACAGCGCGGCTTGCTTACGTAAGCTGACATAAGTGACAGCTTATGCTAATGTTGTAAGACTTAAAACTGAGATGTCAAAAAGTGGAACTGGTAACTGCCTCTGCCAGTCCAGTCTGCCTGTAGGTGTGTCCGACACCAACAGCCCTCTGGGCAGGAGCAGGCTTTTTGTGGACGGTCATCGTGATTTAATGCATGTTGCATTTGGCTGTCCCTGCCATACAAATAATAACCCCTGGCAAAATAGTGGATTTCTGATATGAGGAACATCTCAGATCACTGCAGGGGAAATCTGCTGGAGTCTGTGTTGCCAAGGTTTCTTAATATGCTGGAGTTTAACGTAATTTGAATACTTTCTTAGCCCTTCTTAGCTTCTTCCTTATTTGGTCATTGGAACTAATATATTCACATGAAACTGTGCCACTAACTTCAACGAATGTGCTCCTTTTAACAGAGCCAGTGAATGCTTCTGTCTGGCTCTGTGTGCTCAAGCCAGGGTTGGGAGACTGGCTGTGCTCTCTTCTGCCTTAGTTGAAGAATCTTTAATTAGAATTTAATTGACAAGTCGGACATACTTTGACAGTGAGAACTGAATCCGTGTTAGTATTATCTGTGTAACAGCCATGCTACTTGATAGTATTGGTGCAGAGTGGTCGGTAAAACAGGTTTAAAACAAAGATACAGAAACCAAAGTGAGTTCAATGAGAACTTGCTCTTACCCAGTCACTGCTGTGTTATACTCACCCCATTTAAAAAGTGCCCCAGAGCCGTGGGCTTTTGGCTTTGGTAGCTTGGGAGGCAGTATCTGTCTCAGCAGCCAAGCTGAGGAGGCTCATTCTCAGTGAAATTTGATTATATTTTTTTGAGAATGGAGAGAGGAATGATTTTCCTCTTTCCTTTTCTCCTTCCCCTGTGTGAGGGTGGGCATTCTCAGAAACACTAACAAACCCAGTCGTTGTTTCCCACAGGTTACATCCAGTAGTACTTGGGTATTTCTAAATGAAGCTTTGATGCGAGTCCTGGTGGGTTTCATGCGAGAGTCATGTTTTCGTTTGGGAAATAGATGGGTAGGTGGGTCTAGATGAAATTATTTTGCAATGGCATTTCTTGGGAACTTCCTAAGATACTCTTTAGTGTTTTCTTTGCTTTAATTGTCTGAGGTAGCATTAGCAACAACAGCTTGTAACTGTGCTGACTTGCTTTGCCCCTATTTGCACTTGGCCAATTAAATAGGAGAAATGTGCTGCGTTTTCTGGCTCATGGTAGGGCAGCATGCTGTGTTTTATTATTGTAAATAGTCTATGGGAATGTTTATGTCAAGTATGACTAATATTTTCATCCACTCCTGTCTCTGGCTCTGACTGAAGACAAAATAGGCTGTGTTTTACTCTGAGAGCTGGTGCTTGGTAGCTATGGAAGCCTTGCTGTGGAGTGATAGAAAAGTTGTTGGTAGAACCAAGATCTAATTTTCCTCTTACCTGAACTCTCAGAGTTACTGAAATTTGTTCTCTGGCAGGCTGTTCTAGATGAAAGAACACGAAATTGATGTATCTTCAATGTACTTTGGTTCTTTAGCAGGGTAGGATTTTGCCTGTAATCCTAGTTATGAGGGGACTCAGTTCTGAAAGAGTTTGATTTAATTTAAGAAGGTTCTTATAGCTCAATTTAAACGATTCAGACTATTTTTTTATTCATACTCTTTTAGAAGTTTTCTTCTAAGATGAAGATGTGAGCTGAGATCAAGATCTTTAACCTCACTGCAAGAACATAATAATGTGAAATGTTCTTTAGATGGTAGTGCAGTACAATTTGGGTAATGTTAACTATTTCTGTTACAGGTCGGGAGTTCGTTATCCCTTCGTTGGCACACAGGTTCATAGCAGAGATGGTGGATTTTTTTATTCTGTTCTTTATAAAGGCAACCATTGTTTTAAGTATTATGCACCTCAGTGGAATAAAGTAAGTTGAACAATTTAAAGCTTTGTTATATATATCTTTAAGCTCTTCATGCTCTCTGGGGTGTCGTGATGTATGTGTGGTGTGCTTTTGTATATGGTGGCACTGAATGACTGTCAGAAGTTCAGGAAAAAGTGCCACTAGGTTAACCTCCTTTTAAATGCCTCCTTGTTTTGGATCAGCTGATGAAAACAAAGAATTTGTACAGGTGTCTTCATAGGCTCACAGACTCCTCACTAAGGTTAGACTAGACTTGCACTCTTTTTTGAGGGGGGCAATAGGAAGATTTTTTTAAAAGTCCTTTAAAAATTTCAAAGAAAAAATATTGACAAATTTTATTTTTTTTTTTCAAATACCCTTTAAAAATGTACTGATCTGGCTGGGATGAAGTTAATTTTCTTCACAGTGTCTCCTGTGGTGCTCTGGTTTAGATTTGTGACCAAAACAGCAAAAAATTCAGATCCTGTATGTCAGATACGTATGTACTTTTAAAATACAGCCTGATTGCTAGGAATCCTACTGTGCTGCAGTCTTTACTGGGCATAAGTTGTGTTTCTTTAAAAAAATTTGACGAAGCATCGTGTGTGTCAGTTATACACTAGACTGAAAGAGTCTTCATTCACATTTTACACTCCGATGCAATCATTTACTGCAAGGACTGTTCCTTTTTTATCTGCTTCTTTAACTGTAGATCTCTTATTCCATAGCTCATTTAGTTCCTCTGGACTGGTGTAATGAAATATTTCAGTCTGATTAAGAGATGAGAGCTTGGTGGAGTCAGCAATTCTGTTAACTGTAGAAAGACATTTTGGAATCCAAGGTTTCTGCTGAAGAACTTTCCAAATGTTGACGGACCATAACTGATGCTGTACAGATAACATCTTTCAGACACCTTAAATTGCTGCATGGAAGAGGGACAAATCCGAAACAAATATGTCAATGCAAACGATCGGTGGTTTTCATTCAGATAAGCATGCAATTAAAATGTCAAACTCTGTTATGTTCAGTCGCCAAAACCTCCAGCTCTAACCTGACAGTTTATATTTCTGTTTTGGTTTTGGTAGGCTGAGAATGATACAAAATGAAGTACGGGAAAGATGGGGAACAACTACATGTATATTGCTTCTCTAAAATAGTGAGGGTGACAGAAAGAGGGAATCTTTTTCAATTAATTTACAGTGTATTCAATATTGCTGCTTTTGCAAGAGCCAACAAGTTGCTTACAAGTAACTTCAGAGAAACATTCTGGCTGTTTTTTCCTTGAGAAGTGTGCTTGAGGTTAGGCTGAGGAGTTGTCATGAAAAAAATGTCCTTGCAGGCTCAAAACAGACTTCAGGCCAAGGTTGGACTGAAGGGAGATGCAGGTTGTGCCAGGCTATCTTCTTAATTCCTTATCTTTTTCGATCCTTAAGCCTGAATAAAGAGGAGGGCAAGTAGTACAAATATAAATGGACTGGTTTGAAGTGGGACTGCACATTTCTGTGCAAGTGGTAATTCTCACTTAAATGCGCAAGTGAAAAGTCCTTGCCTAAATACATGTGGTGAGTGTGTCCATTCCAGGTGAGACTGTTAAATTTGTAGAGTTTATCTTGTGAAAACACACAATTGACTCCAAATTGATGCCTGCCTCTGGAAGAGTGTGGTGAGAGGTAAAAGCTGCTAAGAATGAGAACCTGATCATGCAAGGGAGGGTGGGTCTCCCTAGCTTGCTTAGGGAGACATACAGCTTCTCCCGTGCATTTATAGAGAGGAGTGCCGCCTCTTTTTCCTGGAGACTTCCTGTAAGGAAGAGACTCAGATGCCTTCCATTTATATGGGGTTAGATGACCACACTCAGAATCTATCTCCCAAGAAGTGTGAAAATTTTCAGAACAATGCTGCAGGTTGCTACCCAGGGACACCACTGTGCAAAAGTGGTAATAAAGAATGATCTTTTTTTAATGAAAAAGACAAAACCAACTAGGTAGCAACTCAGGAGGAAACCTGGTGTCTTGAATTTTAATGGCTTGTGTACAAGGAGCTTCTTTATTCTTTTACTAATACCAGAACTGAAGGAGTGAATTCTTGTACCAAAGTGGGTTACATCAGTACTGGGAGAAGGATGGTTTTAAAGTTCAGCCTTCTTTTGTACAGGGACATCTCTAAATTTGCCATGCATTACATCATAGAAGAAATAGATGAAGATACGTCCATGGAGGATTTGCAGAAAATGATGATAGTAGCTCTCATCTACAGGTTATTAGTCTGCTTCTATGAGGTAACTACTCATAAACATTAACTTCTATAATCAGTAGTTGTCAGTTGTTGAATAAACGTTTAAAAAATTTCCATCGCCATTGGCCTGTAAAGTAAATCCTCTTTGCAGTGGTTATGTTGAAGCTTATGACATTCATGTAGTTTAGAGGAAAACCAAGGTTGCAAGACCAGTCAACGACGCGGTGCGTGTGGAACTGAAGTAACTTTTCTTTTGCAGATAATCTGCATTTGGGGAGCAGGTGGAGCAACCCCAGGGAAATTCTTGCTTGGACTGCGAGTTGTGACGTGCGATACGTCTGTACTTATTGCACCCAGCCGTGTGTTAGTCATTCCGTCCTCGAATGTCAGTATGACAACGTAAGTGCTCTCAGCTCAGCTCATAGCTCTCGGGTTAATAGTGTGGAAAGCATGTGATTTGGGAGGAAACGTACCATTTCTTTATTACTGGCCTTTGCAATAATTAGCTTGCAAGAGCTATTGTTAGGTTCTGGGATCCAAGAATAAAATAGCGATTATTCAATCCTGTTAGTATTTTTCAGGTTAGGTGGTAAAACGATCTCCTCTGAACTCTGGAGACTGAGTTTTGTGCTGTGCAAAACGGAGGCACTGACTTTGAAAGTTACCGACCTACTAATGTAAGCAGAAAAGTGAAAATCAGGCACTGAATGTTTTATTCTCATTTTAGGTCCACAATACGAGCTTTGATCAAGAATTTTTCTATTGCTTCATTTTTCCCTGCATTCATTACCCTGCTGTTTTTCCAGCATAACCGAACAGCCTACGATATTGTGGCAGGGACTATTGTGGTAAGAAGAAACGGAGTCAGATGATACCAAAAGATGAGATTTCCAGACTGGTTTTGAACATCCCTTCCCACCCCCAGTGAACAACAACCTACCCCAAAACTGAAATTGAGGTGTCTAGCCGAAACTTTTGCCCAAATGGGATTTGATTCAGAAGCTAAAGATAATGTTTTGCTTCGGTGCGATGCCAGCAGCTACCTTCGAAGTGTTGGGAGTTTTCATAAATGCCAAAGAAGTTTGGGAGAAACAGTAACTGTTATTTCTGAAAGTATTAACCTCTGACTGATGAGGAAGAAAGTGGCTGTATTAACTGCAGAAAGGAGCTGTTCTGTTCAGCAGTCTCTGGAAAGCAGATACCTAGAATTACTCCACCTTAAAAGAAATGTCACTCCTCCAGTTTTGGATGTTGGCAGGTAACTAAAAAAATAGAGTTGTTTTCCAAGGAATTGCCTAAGTCATACATAAAGTCTGAGGGCAAGAGAACTGCAGTATTGGACAGTAAGGCAAATCATGTTAATTAACTTGCCATGTGTGTAGAGAGATGAGTGTTTATCATGTCCCTTATTATTGCTTCACAGATCATGGTCCCTCACCTCTTTTAAGTATTTTATCAGAACATTGATGTGAAAATTTTTTTGCATGATCGTCTCAAGCATTGTCACTTATTTCACATGTCAAAGCTCATGAAGAGGTGAAATAGCTGCCTTTTCCCTGGGGAGGGTATGTCATACTGCAGTGTTAGTGAATTGGCACATGTACATAACTTTGGAGCTATGAACAGCACAGGTCGTGCTAACGAAAGGTAACCTTTGCTTCTACTTGGAGTGCAAGCACTTGTCTATTTCTTGCACATGTTACCCAGCAAAACAACTGACTGTCAAGAACATGCAGAAACTGTCACCTGAAATGTGCAATGGGTGTAAATCTACAGAAGTACAAATACTGGTCATTTTTACTTTATAATTCTGGCTAATTGTATATTCAGAATAACTTAAATACTGAATAAAGAAGCCTAATATTTTGCATGATTACATAGCTTTGATAGTTTTATTCTCATGCTATCACTATCTTGGGAAAGGAATTCAAGTGACAATGTTTTCTTACAACTGGAGTAAGAGTTTGGAATTCTAGAGCCCTGTTTCTGTGTGTCCCTCCCTTAGGCGTAACGTGCCCCTCTGGCTGAAGTCCTCACCCTACCTTCAGTTTTGGACAGTGTTTTGGTGGACAATAGAAACATCGGAGAGCTTGGTTATCTCTCATGTTCATGTGAAATAACTTAATCAGTAATGCCTTAATATTCTGCCGTATTTTAGTTTGACAGGTGCTGTTTTCCCTTCTATAAACAGAACATTCTGTGTATGCATTCTGATCTTCATTTACAGTATCTGGGGACCCAATCCACAGCTTAATAGTGGGAGAACAACATTTTCCCATTGGTTTCTGGTCCAGAATGAAGTTGTTGCCTTTTTAGATAGCGGCTTCTACATATGTCTAAAGTAAACAAAAAACCAACCAAACAAAACAATCGTCTCTGCTAGAAACCTGATTGTAAAGCCTTTACATAATCAGAAAGTCTATCTGTACCAACCTCCTCACCCTGTTGTTTTACATTAATAATTTCTTACTAAAAAGACAGACTTTGGTATCTTTAATGTACTGTTAGCATTAGAGCAATTTTACTGATGTGCATCACTGAACTAAAAATGCCCAAGTAGTAACTGGCAATAAGTAGGCCTGAATAACGCACCTTCTGAGGCGGTTAGACCACTTGAAGTGAAAATGTTTTGCTGAAACAGAACTTAAGAAATACCACTTAGCTGGGCTTTCAAGGAACTGACTTCAGCGTTCAGGCCTGGCCTGGGGGAAGCTAAAGCTGTCAGGAGTAACTAAAGTCCCTTCTAGGGTGAGTGGTGCCTATTTACAGGTTCCCCATGAACAGAAAAAGAACTTTGTTCTATTTACTGTAGCAGTGACCTAGAAACTAGGACTCGAGATGGGAGGGAGGAAGGGGAAAGCAATGCTGTTGGCTGAAACTTTCATTGCTACCAGTTCAGGTATAAGGGAAAGTATCTCTTACCCTGTAGAAAAATACCGCCCCTTCACAGCAGGTAAAGAAAATTACAGTTCAGGAACGCAGAGCCTGGCCATGGACGTCTGTGCACGTTCTGCTGTTCTCAACATGAGCTTTTAGTTTGTCTCTTATGCAAGGTGCAGTGAAGAGGCAGCTTTTTTCTGGTTGTAGGATGAGTACTTGGCAGGTGATAGAGCTAAAGAAATAAAGAAATTTGTGGCATTTTTCAGATTTAGACACCTGGAAATAGAGTTGCTTACAATCCTGCTACAGTGGCTAGATGTGACTGTCTCAATAGCAGCTTACGTGTGTGGTTTTAAAGTCTAGTTGGTGAATGTTTTCTATTTATAGGACTAGTGATTGGAGCTCTTCCCATGTAAGACTCCTGTGACAGCAGAAGTTAGTCTCTGCCCTCCTGTCAAGCCTAGTTCATGGTTAGGAAAGTATTTCGTAACAGCTGTAGCTGTATGGGTGCTGAAGGGCAGGGGGTGAGGGGCAGAAGTGCCAGCAAAAAAACCCAGTGATGCCACTGAAGACACTCAAAGCTTATGCAATTGTGCAGGTCCTTTCAGTTCCGGCTGTTGTGAGAGGCGGAGCTTAACCCTAAGCAGTCGCTGTTGCTTAGTAGGAGTTCTGCTGTGGGCTCCAGCCAAACGCGAGCATTTCCTTTCATTTTACTAGAGTAAGGTCTGTTCTCTGAGAAATTCCTCCAGCTGCCACAGCAGTGGAAGAAAACCAAACTACTCATTTACAATTGGGTGTACTTTCTTCTCTGCAGTTAGAATGGTGGGGAACATTTTTTAACCCTAGCTTTTTGGTTTTAATAGCTCTGTCAAGATTAACTGCAACCATTGCAGCCAGACAACCGAGGCTCTGAGCTTAAGTCCACGATAAAACTCTCCTTCCTAACAGGGAACCTGTAACTAATTTAAGATCCTCCAAAATCAGCATCTGTGCCACTGTCAAAAAGAGAAGGCAGATGACATCGTGCAGGTTGAGCACATCATTTCACACAGCTGCAGCTGCCTTCAGGGAGAGCTAAAACTGCCAGACAGTATTTCATAGTTTTTATTGATGGCATTTATCCCATGGTTTAACATGTTAATTATACTGTAATAAACATGGCTTTAATATTAAACTTTTCCTTATTATCCAAAGTCACCACAGTCCATTTCAGTAAATATAAAAATATATACTTAATACTTTGTACAATACTGGTTTTTGGTCCAAACAAAAATGGATCAGAAAAGCCAATAAACTTACTTTAAGAATTCCCAATTTTAAAGATTTTCTAAATGGATTTAGGCAACTTTGAATAATGGGATTTACATAAAATCTGAGACAATACTAAACAAAAATGGCTGTAACACACAAAATTAAAATTTCAATTTCACAGATTTGTTATGCCAAAAAAGTACATAGAGAAACAAAGTTGTATTTACATGTTTCATAATAAAATAACAAAGGCGAGACAGGTGATAAAGGGCTGTAAGAATGAAAATATAGAAATAGCATATAATTATTAAATGAAGAACTACAGATCTAACAAGTCCTTAGCATGGATCATCCTGTAATCAGTCTTCCTCTATCAGAAAATTTTAGTGCACGATACACCCAAACTCACTCACTTCACACATACACCAGCACAAACTCAGCATAGAAATCATTCGTTATCAACATTCTCTACTCTATACAGCATCCCTCGCTGATATAATTACAATTTCGAGGCGTCAGTAAACGCAGATGAGCGCACATAGTGGTGCAGATGAGGAGGTATTGTACAAGCCATTCACTGTGCAGGCTCTACTCACGGCTACAGCCAGACCATGCCGAGTCAGTGAAAGAAGTAACTTGCTGGAGTCTAAAATAGTTTTGCTTGAGGATGGCCCTGTTGCCAACCCTTACTCGTTACCAACAAAACTAACGGGGGGGGAGGGAAGGAAAGGGCAGCAGAGGTTTTTATTCCTTTAGGCAGATCTGACTTCAGCTAACCCAGCACGAGGTATGATCCCAACAACTGAACAATGCAGGGTAGCAGCGGCTTCACAAGTTGCTTTACTGATCGGGCGGTTATTTTCTACGTCTAACTGCAGTCTTTATCTTCCGGCCAGAAACTGAAGGTCCAGAGGCAGAGAAAACATTTTTCCCATTTGTCCTATCAAAAGAAATTAGTAGTTCAGAGTTTAGGACAGCTTAACTGAACATTCAATAGCAGCACTGAGCAGATATTCCAGCGCAACCATTTCATAGTCTTGTCTCGCTAGTTAGCAGCTGGCAACAAATGGCATACGATGAACAGGAGGAAGAGGGTTCCCAAAACCAAAAGCAATTAAATCTCTGTTATTCAGAAGGTAAGTAGCAGCATAATGTCTAGATAGGGATTTTACCTCTCAAGACCAAGACCCTTTCACATAGGTTGATGTGTGTGGCATTTCTGACAGCGAGGCTCCTTTAAAGATAGCGTGGCCACGTTGGACAGCCAGGCTAACACAAGGAAGGATGCCCAATTTAGTTTCAGATTCCAAGGTTCATCTCAACACCTCATCCTTTAACAGCAGGAGAGGCTGAACACACTGTCCACTGATACTACCCGAAGCTCACACGAAATTCCAGTACGGTCTCTTACCCCACTGTAAATGCTGGAGGCTGGCTGAACGAAAATCCTGAAGAGCCAGAAGGCTGTGTCGGTGCCGCTGGTGCAGGAGGATTTGCACCAAAAGTAAATACTCCTGGGTTATTTGGGAAGTTGAAGTTAGAAGTATTACTTCCAAACTGGAACACGGAACCTGGGAAGATGGGGTGGAAGCAGAAGGGAGTCAGAAAGTTGAAATTTGAGCTCACCCTTTCCAGCAAAATCCTCATGTTCTTCCCACTATCTTTAATGAATTTTTTTTACTGGTCATTCAAGATGACAAAGTTGGCGGATGGGGGCGCACCAGCTCTGCCAGATTACTACAGGAACAGCACGTAGAAGAATTCATTCACTTTAACAGAATCTTAAAGAGATTCTTCAAGTAACACTGCTGGCACACTGACAATGAATTGTTTGCTAACTTCTTTACCACCATTAAGTTTATACCTGTGCATACTGAAGTTCATTAATAAAGTCTTAAATTAAGTCTTGAATCATGTAGGTTTATATTTAAGTAAATGATCTTGTGTTTAGGCAGTCGATCTGGGGACTCCGTTTCATGTGCTAACACAGCACCTCATCTTAAAAAATAAAAATAAAAAAAATTCCTACCATCAAAGTAACTGATAAGCAATACAGACAATCCAGGGAGATTTTTAGCTTTAAAGTGCTACCTGATCAATGAAGGACTGACTGAGTAACGTGGTGTGCCAAGTAATCCACTGATTAGTACAAAAACGCCACTTACTTTTAATGGAGGATATTTTGTTAAACTCCCGAGAGGGGAAAAGGGAGGCTTTTCCCTTTAAGTACTTGACGTGGTGATACCAAATAGTACGTTCCGGCAGTGTGTTTTCATTTTTTAACAATTGCTAGTGTGGAACAGGTCTTTCTTACACTTAAATTATAAGGATCATTCTCTGCCCCCTTCCCACAGTATTTTATTGGTAAAAAGAATTTTATTTAATAAACGCTTAAAAATAATTCTGACCGTGTTCTTACTCAACAAAGCCCCCAATCCAAATAAATTGCCAAAGCCTGTTAACGAAGTCAGATGACTGAGAATTTCTCTCAACAAATCCAAAACCAATCATTTTGCAGTGCTTCTGCTGTTCTGGTTTGTACACGCTTACCAGTGAATACTCCACGGTTTTCAACACTTCCTTTTAATCGCTAGATTTCTCAAGAAAATAAACCCCAATATTTAGTGGTAGGGTTGCAAACACCGTGTCTGCCAAGTCTCCTGCGGAGAAGCCTCACTGTGAAGCTGGCGTATCTACGGCACATCCTTCGCAGTCAGGAGTGAGGCACAAATGGCTTGACTCTGTACCCATTATTTTTACGGAGGGTAATTCTTACATTCAAATGCGTGTGTAAGGCAGAAGTTGTCTTTCTCCATATTACTCAAGGTGCACTTCATGAAAAATAAAATAAAATATAATCTTTGAGACTGAAAGGGAAGGGGATGGTTGGCACTCACCAGCACTGGGGGTACCAGAGCCAAACCCTGGCTGCTGGGTCGGTTGCTGGCCGAACACAGAGGGCTGAGTGCTGCTCGTCACCGAGCCGAAGGCAGGAGCAGAGGGCTGAGCTCCAGCTGAAAACAACGTTGTCGACAGCGATCCGAAACTTGGCACGCCCGGCTGGCTGGACCCTTGGCTCTGGCGCCAGCCAGCCACCAGCATCTCACCAAACGCTGGGCCAGCAGCAGGCGCCGGAGGCCCAGAGCCAAACAGAAACGAAGAGGACGACCCTCGGGAACAGAAGAGAAACGTCAGGATATGGCAAGCTCTCCCCCCCCCCCCCTCCCCGGAACGAATCTACAAAAAACCAAAGGTTCCAAGGCCCCATGTTTCCCAAGTCTGGTAGCTGAATACTCAATTTCAAACTAATTGTGTGAGTATATAAAACATATACTACAGCCACAACAAGAATTGCACCTTTTCTTGTAAGCAATATGAGAACCCCCATGTTCACGCGTCAGACAAAATTAAATCTCAAACGCACTGGCTGCCTAGACTCAGATTACTGCGTTAACGTTCACATTCTAGATACAGATTTCCACAAATAGTACATTTGAATTTGTATTTACTCACACAGAGAATATTTATTCAAATTGTATTTTTCAAACATGCAAAACACAGCTCCCAATTTGTTAGGATCAGAACATGAATCCTTCTTGGTAGCAACTGCACCACCCCCCCCCGCCCAAGTGTTTACCATTAACAACTTCCAGAGGTCAAATCAAGCTGGCAGTGATCTCTCTGTACCCAAAACCTCGAATTAGCTGAGTAATTCTCTACATAACGTCAACAGCTCATTTGTTTAGCTGCTTCGGCTCTGCATGGCCAGCAGAAATAACAAAACGAAAACACGTGACTGAACAGTGATTCTGAACACACACAGCAGATCTGCTACGCAAAAGGGGACATTTTAAACAGCGCTATTAATGCAATTTAAGCAGCCTTCCTGCAACAGAGAATACCCTCCATTGCACCATATCCTGGAATGGCTGACTGGTTTTCTTTCCAAGAAGATGAACAGATACACGGTAAAAGTTAATACAGGCTTCTACATGAAAAAAAACAAACCTTCATGAAGATGTTTGAAATATGGCATTGCCTACTAACGAAATGGCATTGAAAGTTACTGATTTGTAAGCAAGTTAAATTGATCTGCTGGTTGGTCTAATTTAGGACTGTTTTCTCTCGTTTCTGATAAACAAGAAAGTGTGTAAATTTTAACTTCTGTGAATGACAAGGGTAAGCAATCAGTTCAAGTAGATGAAGTCTCTTTCTCACAGGTTCAATCTTATTTCCAACACACTGCTAGGCTAGCAGGAATACAAATGATTTGGCAGGTTTAGTCTTGTGTCATACTGCTAAATTCATGCAGTGGGGTAATGAACGTAAAATGTGAAGAAACTTTATAGATTCTTATCTCAGTCTTCTCTAAATTGCTAGAAAATTAACAAAACCCTAGCCATAATGCTTATTAGAAACCATTCCTTCAACAGCAGCAATTGCATGGAGAGGTACTGTGTTTATCTGTGCTTGTGAAGGAAGGATTTTGCAAATCTTGACATTATTTACAACAGTTGAGAGTTTTAGGTATGGGCGAGAAAAATCAGGAAAGTTGTAATTCACTGACTTGTAACTGTAAGCACTGGTCTGACAGAAGAAAGATGCGATCGTTCTCATGGTGAAAAGCTCCTGTGCAAACTGAAATCCAGTGAAGAGTTGTGCTTTGCATACAGTAACGTTGCTGCCAGTTCATTCCTAAACTTTCTTTCCCAGACTGTCTGCAAAAAACTGAGCCCAAATTTATACTCTTTGACTATACATACTGAGCATTTTTCTCTACTTCCATGCATTTGGCCTGCACATTCTCCAAAGCAGAAGTCATGAAACAGTATTTCCTTGGTCCCCTATGTAACAGTAGAAATGAGAAGAGCATCTATTTAAAATGTACCTGTTGAACTGGATGTGGTTGTGGCTCCAAAGGTAAATCCTGAATTTGATGCATTGGTACTGCTGGCACCCGAACCAAAGAGAAATGAAGCAAGAGCCGTGCCAGTGCTGGAAGATGTGGTTGCTGGTTTGTTTTCTTGAGAGAAGCCAAATGACTGAGATGCTGTAGATTCTGCAGAATTGCCAAAAACAGAGCTGCTCACAGTGTTGCTGGGTTGACCAAACACAAAGGGAGCAGGAACCGGCTGAGGATTTGAGGAGGAGATGGCGCTGCCAAACACACTGCTGCTGTTGGTTGAAGTGGTGGGTACGACTGTGCTGGAGGAACTAGAGCTCAAGAAGCTGAAGGATGGCTTTGCTGCTCCTGGGTCTGAAAGGAGGAACCGTACGTAAACCACCACAGAAATGCCAAGCGAAGCACACAAGTAGACTCCTGTCTCAATCACTGTTCAAAGAGCAGTCCTGAATGGCACCTCAACTACCACTCCTGCTACTGTCACTTACATAAGATCCAGACTTAATGTGCCAATTGCTGCCATCCACAATTAAAGGAATGAAAGAATTTTGAAGAACAATTACACCACTGCATTCTAGGCTTCATGAGTTACAAACACCAACTACTGGCTATTATTACCCCAAACAGTATTAACCAGTACTTCTGAACTCTTCAAACAAAAGTGTATTATTTCAGATGTTTTTAGAAGAATAACATCAATCACCTGGAACAGTTTTAGGGCTTTGCCCAATGGAGTATTGAAAAACACAGCGATACAGCTTCATTTGTAGCTTGTCTGAAAATACAGCCCCGTGCCTCAGCTTTAATAAAGTCAGGTGAAGCTTACCATGCTCCAGCCTAACTCTCCCAAGCTTCAGTTCATTGTACTTAAGCACCTGCAAGACCTGCTTTTACAGGCAGCAGAGAACAACCCTCCATTAAGACCACTGTTACAGAGTGCAGTTTTACACACTTAAAAAGAGCTGTCTCAAAGTCATGTCATTATCCAGCTTTCCCTAAGCTGCTGCTCTCATTCTCATTATTAATTTGTGATCTTGTTTTCAATTTCCCACTATCTTTTTTTCCAGCAGTTAATGGTCCCTTTTCATCTATACCATTTTAAGGGACTGTACCATTCTTCAGAACACTTCTTAAAATTTCCTTTTTGCACAAGGTGCTTCATCAAATGTCCATGACTAAACCTAACTCCAGAACTTTACCTGGCAGGGGGAAAAAAAAAAAACAACAAACAAACCAAACCCAACCTCAACCCTCCCCGCCCCTGTCTCCCCTCCCCCAAGTCCACAAACCTCCAAAAACCTGTCTGTTCAGTAGCAGTTCAACTGCAAGAATACTGTGATTAAAACCAGTATAACCCTATGTATTGCCTTTATTCAGGGTTAGTTACTGATGTCCTTTTCCATATCACTTCAGAAGTTAGAAACCAAATCTGTTCTCTAAAACACAGTTGCTAAGACATACAAATGGAATTTCAACTACCAGAATTTTCCCACACCATGATCACCACCAAAGAACTTTAATCCTCCACTGCAGACTTCCCGCAAATTAAAGGAATACAAAACCGCACAGTATCTATGAAGTGATTTTCACACCTTTGCAGCAGTGCAGAAACAGCGGTACAGCCTGCAGCATAGCTGCAAGTACACGGGGATAAGGTATTCCCTCTCTCATCCCCTTTCACTATGAAAAACAATGCTGGTTTGAGGCCTCTATCTGCACCATACCACAGGTTTTGTCACCAGCTGTGCTGCTACCACTGAGACAATACAACTTCTGTGTTCAGACCAGCAGCAATACAGGTTCTTTCTTTAAGGTGTGGTGATTTTTTTGCATAAGGACTTGCTACATGTTGCTTACACACCACCAACCAGAACTAAAGACAGGCTGCAGGTAGTAATTAAGCCTTTTCGAAGGCTAAAATGCAAGATATATAACAAATCCCATAGATTTTGTCCAGTATGGCTTCAGAGGTATTATTTGATGCACACGAGCAGACAAGTCAAGAAAAAAGATGTTCTATTTACCTGAAGTACTGGTTTGTGCCCCAAATGCAAAAGACTGTTTTGCCTGCTCACTTTCCTTCTCCGATGGTTTAACGAAACTAAAATTGAATATAGGTTTTGCTGTGCTCTCCTCTTTGGTATGCTCAGCCGTCCCAGCTGAAAAGATGGGTTGTGCCTTTAACTCTTCAGTGTCAGCTTTCTTTCCAAACGCTAATGGAGCGGCAGAAGTCACAGAGTCCTGTTTCTCTTCTGTCCTTCCCAAGATGAACTGTGAGGCAGGTGCAGACTCTACACTGCCAAAAGAGAAGCCTCCCTTTGTCGAAAGAGTTTCGTCCTTTTTCTCATCTGACTTTTTAAATGCAAGAGCAGGTGACACTACCTCCTTTTCTGCCACGGTTCCAAAAGTGAAGCCACTGACTCCGGTTTTATTCTCATTGGTAGCTACGGAAGAAGTGGAAGTCGTGCCAAAACCAAAGCCTCCCAAAACTGGTTCCTCTTTCTTTTCCTGCTGTCCCAGGCTCGCTGTCCCAAACTGAAAAGTTGAAGGAGCCTGACTGCTTGTAGATGGAAGTCCAAAAGTAAAACTGTTACTTTTACCTTCTTTTTTACTGTCTTCTGATTTAGAGTCTGAGGAAGAAACTCCAAATTTGATGTCCCCTGAACTAGCAGGAAACTTAAATCCCCCGGTCACAGTGCTGGACGATGCAGATTCAGATGCAATGCCGAACTTGAAGCACCCTTGTTCTCCAAATTTAAAATTTCCTGTGCTACTTAACGTATGAGAAGACTCAGAGGAGGACGACTGGACCCCAAATGTAAATGAAGGCATTGCAGCACTTGTGGACACAGTAGCAGTACCAAAACCTGCAGAAATAAGGAATAATGTTCAGTTGCAATATATGATGTAATACACGTAGGCTTCAGCTACGTGGCTGAGATTCTAGCCCTGATCTTCCCAGAGTTAAAAAAAAAAACAAAAAAAACCAAAAAAGGGCAAACAACCAAACCAACAGACCAAACCACAAAACAAGTAAGAGAACTCTACACTTCCTCTCTACGTACACCTTTCAACAACGACACTCTTCTGTCCACCACCTGGTTTTGACAAGTGTATTGCTAACTTCTTTGAAACATCATGCTTTAGCCTAAACTCCAAATGAACAACACATAAGGCTTGTAAAGAACAACTATGCCATTAACACAAGCTTTTCTCTAAAAAGCATAATTTTTTTCTGGGGAAAGGGTGTGGAAACATAGGCACATTACCTTACTTAAGTAATATTCCTAGAGGAAAAATGAATGATTTTGCCATACCTCAAAGGAAAAAGAGTTGTACTTAAAAAAAAAAAAAAAAAAAAAAAGGACAAACCTAAAGAAAAAATAAATTGCAGAATGCACACCCTTGTGTTTCTCGTCAAGTATTACCTTTGGGCTCTGCTTTGGTGCCTGGCTTTGCACTTTCACAGGCTACACATTTCGTGGCTTCTGCTTTGTTTTGGACCAAGCAGACTTCACAATCCCAGCTTCCTTCAGGCTTCTTGAATTTGTCTAAATCCAGAAATCCTCCAGAAGCAGCAGAAAATGCAGAAACACTGCTGCTGGTCACAGGCACTGAACTCCCTGAGAAACAGCAAGACAGTTAATCATCCTACTTAAATGATAAAGTGAATGTGAACTCTTAAATACTCACTAAATTACAAAGTGGACAAGTGTAACAGTAAAAAAACATCAAACTACAAGTTAATTTCAGTCAAACTCAATCTGAGACTGTAAACGATAGACACACCTAGATTCTTCTTTATAATCTATGTATGATTTTAAGCACAAACTGAACTAATGACATTTAAACAGCAACTGCAGTTCATACAATACAGCAACACAGCCAACTGCAGATGTAAATTACAGGTACTGCATTCAACTAAAACGAAAAGAATTTCTGGTGACACAAGTAACCCACAGTCAAAGTTAGAACCACTCAAGTTAATGATCACCGTCATGTGATGTGAGGCTGAGAATTTACCAGAAAGATTCATCACCAAATCCTAAAGACAGACATGTTTAAACCTGCATCATGACCAAAAAAACCCAGAGAGGAATTGAAAACTTCCAAACCCACAACTCTGTGTTCCCTACATAAGCTACACTGTCTTCAACAGCAGCAGAAACCTCCACAAAGAGGCCCAAAAGACGCTTGCCTTCTGATTTTTCTCCCCTATAAAGGAAGAGATGACACTTGATGCTGCACCTCAACAGAAAACTTCAGCTCTGTAAGTGCGAGGACTGAAGTGGACGACATCCAGAAGGCACAAAAGCATCATGTATTTGTCATGTTCACCTACAGCTTTAAACCACTGAGGGGGGCATTTAAGAGAGAGGTGGAAGGTAACGTCTCAAATTCAAAACAGTAAGGACAGGAATGGGTCTCCTCTTCCACAGAGAATTTTTATCCTCTCATTTTACTTGCCTCACTCGTCCGCTTCACAGATGTAGTATTAACTGTGCTACTCACTGCACCATGATGGTCACAGCACCCCTCACATTTCCAAACTTCCTCCTTGCAATGGCTAAAGTCTCAAATAAAGGGCCAGTTGATCACTCTGAGGCTGAAAAGTCCAAGAGAATACGCTCCCTCTGAAATGCATGGTCTTATCTGAAGAAATTCCACTCTTACTGCACAGGATGATTACAAAAGCACAAATCTAGTCCATCTTAGAATCACTCCCACAGCGCTCCCAGATACATTTGCGAAGGTGTTTTTTGACATAATAGTGTATTAATTTGATGTAATAGTGTATTAAAATTATGTTTAACAAAAGTTAACACTAAACTAATTATTTGTGCTTTAAAAACAATAAAATCGCCACACTCACAATCAATTACAATCACATACAATGGGAAACAACCCATCACTGCACTGAAGGCGGCGTCCACCTCACCAGGGTCTGGAAGGACTCTGACCCTCCAGAACAAGGTCACCCATGTTCTGGAAGGCTACCACTGGCCTTCACAGGCATAGCTGAACGTACACATTTGGTTTAGCTGAAGATGAGTAGCTGAAGACTACACTGCCTTGAAATCTGGCTTCATACCTCTGCTCAATGACATACAAATGCTGAGTGGGGACATTTTTAGCCATGTTCTGCAAGTACTGCTTCTACTTATGTTTTGAAAAAGAAAAAAAACAAAACCAAAAAACCACCATGTAATTTTTTACTCTTTCTGTGGAGTTCACGTTTTTCCCCAATGAAAATGAGTAACTGGGTTTTAAGTTACGGCACCCAGTTTAGTAATCGTTCCTCACCAGCTACAAAGCAGGGTATATTTGCTTCAATTCAGCCCTGCACTAATGTGTTTCACAGTCAGTTCAATTCATGTGACAGGCTGGAATCGAGCCTGAGACCTCAAGAGCTCCTGTAACCATTCCTGCAGACAGGCACTAATCCATCCTGTCTGGCACACAGCCATGTTGCTGAAAAATATCTTTTCTATGCAATGTATTTTATTCTGTAAAGAATGCACAGAGGCCAAGATTGAAACAACAGAACAGAGAAGAACACACCTGGTTTCTCGGACTGACAAGCCACACATTTGCAGTCTTCTGCCTTATTTGATACAAGGCACACCGCACAGTCCCAAGAGCCTTTTGGCTTCTTAAATTTGTCTCCAAACCCCAGAGTGGCTGTTGTGTCAGTGCTGCTGGAGGAGGATGTCACTGTCACCGAGCTGTCTGTGACCACTGGCAATGTCAGAGCAGGCATTACTCCTGTTCCAGGCTTTGGTGTCTCACACGCTATACATTTTGTAGCTTCCGTTTTGTTCTGTACCAGACAGGTATCACAATCCCACGTGTTGGGTGACGGTTTAAATTTGTCTTCAAAGCCCAACATCCCTGCAGCAGGGACTGCTGCCTTAGAGGCGACACATTGATTTGAGCTTATCATCTGTTTTGTACTCTCAACTGTTGACACTTTAGCAGCTTCACATGTTACACATTTGCCATCTGTGGTTTTGTTTTGCGAACATGGGTCATGTGTGTCAGACTGCCAAAATGAGGACACTTGTTTAGAAGTGTCTTTACTCGCAGAAAAACTACTTATTGCTGGCCTTGTGTAGACCACTGTGCTTGTAACAGGCTGTGCAGTTGTAGAGGAGTGTGTTTTCACAGACATAAAGCCTATAAAAAAATAAACAGGAAGAGATTTCAGATAAAGCAGCACCTTCATTACACGTAAGTCACTTACTTATAATAGTAGGTGGCATAAATTTAAACCAAGTGCCAATGGTTACAACTATACATTCTGACTAACTGCAAGAGGAAGTCCCTGGAAATTTTATCTAAAGGGATTAAATTTCATATGCTGCACTGCAACATAACAGAACATTTATTTAAAGCTTGATTTAACTCTTAATTTCCAGGACAGTTTTAAATACAAACCTTCACTGGCAGATAGAAGTGCGAACAAACAGTACTGAAAGCCGACTATCCGTCATGTTCTAGAAATAATCCAATTTCATTTTAAGACACCATGCCCAGTCGAATCAAATTTCTAAGGCTATTTCTGCCATAGTAGGTGGCTCTCAGTTACTTTAGTAGCTGTGCAGCACTTGGTACTTGGAGCAGCAGTCCACATGGTATTTCCCCACAGATATCGAGTATTAAGTAATAAAAATGAAGAAAACAGAATAATTGCTATCTATAATCTTTGTTCAAAATGCACTGGACACAGCTCAATTCCTTATTTAAAGGTGCCAATTTTAACAGAAAACAAGAACCACCAATATGAAACACTAAAATATGCTATGGCAGTGCATCTTAAAAAGCACCACAGGTTACTTGTAAAGCTAAGAGCTTTTTTTGTTTATTATGTTGTTGTTGTTTTGGGGTGCTTTTTTTAATAGTGTCTTTGACACTATTAAAGAAGTCTTTGTACAATGTGGATTTAGAACCTGCTTCTCTTAAACTGATAAAGAAAATCGTCACTTCACTCATAGGTCTTCCCTTAAACAAACGCAGTGTATTTTCTCTCAGCTCTTTCCAATACAAAAAGGTGCTGTCTTCTTAACAACTGTATATATTTGTCACTTCATAAAAAAATAGTCCTGATGCAACTGAAGGCTTATGGGAAAAGATCAAATTCAATAAAGTCCTTTTCCTTAATACAAAAAAATATCATCTACACATACACACTTTATTAAACAGTTGAAAACAACTGCAATTACTTGCAAATAAAAATTAGAAAAAGGTTTTTGAACAGGCCACTTCTACTTAAAATTTACATTTGAATGCATGGTAACGGTTATCATTTAAGGTCAAAAGATTTGCAGCTTTTGAAACACCCTTAGGATGAAACTGTCTTTACTATTCTTAATAGTGAAGGAGGGAGAGGAATATTTGTAAAGCATTTTACAACCATTTCCTTTCCAATTCTATAAATCTAATTTATTTAAAATGAAACACTGATTATTTGACTAATTCTCTTTATACTTCATTTACAATTACATCCTAACACATAAAGGAGAAGCAATGCATCTGGTTTGAAGTTGCAGTTTTCCTTCCAGCAAAAAGCCACTTAGAATAGAAGGGGTGATCAACCCTAACAGATGCAGCGTTTAACGTAATGCTCTCCTGGGTTTGTGTTTCTAGATAATATTGCATAACTGTGTCAAGTGGCATTTTTGTTAGCCTTGTGGTGCATTTTTTAAAAATCAATGCAGTTATATGCTAGTGGATTTTTTGCAATATCTTTTTAAAAGGCGTTTATTATCTCACCAGGGCTTTTTAGAATGTCTAACACACTTCCTTCCTTTAAGACCTGCGCAGGTTTGGAGGGGCCATCACATTCTTCTTTTTTCTTCTTCTTATTGCTGGTGCTGTTTACAGTGGCGGTATCTTTAAAAACGAATAAAAAAACCCAAACCTTGTCACAAAAAAATCCACTTAAAATATGTTCACGTTTGCTAGAAATAAGACTTTACAAGTTTGATGCTTCTTACATAAGCATCGTCAAAATCCTGCCTTGGTTACAACAGTTTCTAATTACAATTTGGTTAAAAGCAGATCTGTCACTGAAAACACACTTTGCCTGGAATTGCTAATATGCTCAAAAAGGACAGATTTACTATTTAATATACAAAAAAAAGAAAATCAGCACTTCAGATCTGAAATGCTAAAATGTCTGTTACCTAGAGTATGTAAGGATGTCACTGGTGTATCACTGGATCCAGAAAGCTCTGCTGATTTTACAACAGGAACACTAAATGTAAACCCAATCTGCTATGAAAAAAGAGAGATTTTTCAGATTCTGAAACAAAAGAAACTTTAATCAAGTTTCACATACAAATAATTACCTGAAATCCAGTCTTCAAACTTTTAGTATACATGTTGGATGACAAATTATAAGCCAGAAACCTATATACTTGTTTTCCCCATTATCAGGGCCAATTCTCCTTTATTATTCTGCAACATTCTACTAAAGCCCTGAGAAAAGGTTGAGCATTATTTATTTTACTTACAGACAACGGAGGTAGCACTTCCGCCTCAGTAGATTTCACAATTGGAGATGAAAATCTGAACACAGGACTGCCAACATTACTCGCTGGTTGTACCTGTATTTTCAAAAGAATTAAGGTTTGTATCTAAAAGAAAAACACCCTGGCGAAACAGTAACAGCTACCTGGATTCACTGTCTAACAGACGTTCTGCAGTGAGGCTGGGAAAGCTGATGTTTGGTATTTATTTCTAACCCACAGATAAGAGTCCAATAAAAGAAAATGAAGCTTGCAAGTGAGCATATAGTGCAGTATCAGCAAAACCAAATCCCATAAATCAAGAGAAAAAACTGAGATGCTACTTCGATCTAAATATATTAAATGCACGGAAAAGCAGACCAGGCAGCTTAAGAACCTTAAACTAACTCAGCTCAACTGTAGTCAGAGCTTCAGCGCATAACTCAACATGTTAAACAAGGTATCTGCTTCAAAATACACAAAAATATTTCAAGTACTCTGGAACAGATGAACGCTTATTTTACTGCAGTAATATTCCAATTACTGCACCCCAGGCTCATATTCTACACTAGGCTTATATGACCATTAATGCTACCTCTAATTTAATGATTTAACCTGGCATACAATCCCAACAGAATCTCCACAGCATTTGAAGCAGTTCTACAGTTATGTTAACTAGACAGAAGTTTGCAAAGCATAAGATGGCAAACTTTATGCCTCCCCTCACCTCCAAATCAGAACATAATCCTGATTTATTCAACACGCCATAAAATAATTTTAGTTAGTTTCATGAGCACCACGGAAGAAGTTAAGATGCAAAACAGCAGATGTATATTCATCTTGAAAAAGCGTTCACAATACACAACAAAAATTTACCTTGTTCATTGCTGCTGTTGAAACAGTGCTTGGTGACGATGAGACAGTACTACTGGCAAGAAAACTAAAGTTGAACGAAGGCAGTGTTGCAGTACTGATGGGTAGGGGAACTTTCGGTAGTACTGGTTCTTCCACTTCCTAGGTGTAAATTTTAATTGTTATAAATTATAATTTTTCTATTTCTTTAAAGAAGTTGTAAATTTTAGCTTTTCTCTTTTACAAGACATACTACCTTCCTACTCTGTCCCACCCTTCACTTCTTAACAAAGTTAAATACAACAGAGAGATCTATAGATGAAGACAAAGCAAGTTTTCAAAAGGAATCCTAGCCTCCCCACCTCTGTCTGCCACATCATTTTAATCTATGGCAGGACTGTTTCCATGCAATACTACAGTCATCACCTGTCCAGAAAAAATACTGAAAGTTAGCTCAAAATTGTTACCTGTGCAGAACAGAGAGAGGCACAGATCAGATTTAGTTTTGTTTTCTGTACTTCAGTTATTAAAGGGTGGCGAGGCACTGGCACAGGTTGCCCAGAGCAGCTGTGGCTGCCCCCTCCCTGGCAGTGTCCAAGGCCAGGCTGGATGGGGCTTGGAGCAACCTGGTCTAGTGGGAGGTGTCCCTGCCCATGGCAGGGGGGGCTGGAACTAGATGGTCTTTAAGGTCCCTTGCAACAGGGAAGTGCAGTGAACTTGGAAAAAGATAATGTTTAAAGAAGTATGTGGGTTCCTTAGAGCACCAAAACCACCAAACCAAAGCACAAAACGTCAAAAAAAAAAAGCCTGACTAGCAGCAGAGATGATCATATTCTGGTAAATCTAGTCCATATCGGGTATGAGGATGCAAATTTAAAACTCAGAAACCAGTCTACCTTAAAAAGTCTGGTCTTATCCTTTCCTTTTAAACTATGATTACCAAGATTTGATTAGTTAGGGTTTAAATGGAAATAGCCAACCTAATCACAACTTGCACAGAAGTACCAAGATCTACCCAGAAGTTATTAAACCAAGATATAAGCTGCTACTACAGAAATTTAACATATCCTACAACTTACATCTTTCACAGTTTTGATTTGAAGAGTCTATTGGACCTTGATATTCAGACCATTTGTATTATAGAAACATTCTCCAGTACTTACTCTTTTTTTGTTGTTGTTGTTTTGGGGTTTTTTTCTTTTTAATATTTAAGATCCAGTAGCAGGCAGCTTACATAATCAGAAAAATAATCCTCAGGATAATCACAACCATAGCCTTGTTAAATGGTCTTTTCCCATTAAAACAAGAAAAAAACCCTCTCACAATGAGTTTGATTAAGTGCCAAAAATTGTGAATGATCCTTAGCAGACATGCAGAAGAACACTGTCTTCTGCTTCAGACTCTTTCTACATGACTTAAATATGAAATAACAAATTAAATAAACTTTTTTTACTTACTTAGCACTTGTTTCAAACATCATTCCTAAAGGAATTTTTAGAAATAAAAACTCTACAAACCTCCACCAAAATTCATGCATTTAACTGCTGATGAGAAACTTTATAGTATGAAGCATCTCCAAAATAATATGACTAAAAATTTCAAAAATAAAAAAAACCACAAGGTTGAGGCACTTAAACAGATAAATTGGATCCTGCCTCAAAACCCACAGCAAAACCCCCACAAAACTGAAGTGGCATCATTATAAATTACTATGAGGCAATAAAACTGGCATACTTGGTGAGTTACTGAAGTAATCTCAGTGACAGCAATTAACCTCAGAGCCCCTTACCTGTTGTTCTTGTCCAGGTTTTGATATATAGTGTATTCCTCTTCCCCTTCTCATCTTGCCACCACCACCCACTCCTCCTCCTGAAGACAGACCGTTGGATGCAGGAGTACTGAATTTGGGGTAGGTCAAATTGCTGGCACAGAATAACAATACATAGGTTGAGGAAGGTGGTGGGGTGGGGAGAAAGAAAAGGAAAAATAATTAAAAAAAAAAAAAATCAACTTTTCAACTAACTGTTTCAAAGGACTAGCCACTATTAGTCCTAGAACTGACACCTTCTAATCAGAATCAGAAAAAAATGTTCCACAAGTTGCTAAATGCTGATAAATATCTGATATTCTAAACAGCAAAACCTGCATTAATAAGAGCAGCAATGAGAAGGGCATACATAAGAAACAGTCACAACATCCATAAAGGAATGATGACTAAGCCAGAAGACCTGACATAGAAGAACTGATTCAGATTGTTATTTTCTAATGTTCCGTTTTAATAGTCTACTTATTACTATTTCCACTATTTAGTAGAAATTTTAACTGCTGGTTCTCTGATTTTGTGATGAGCATGTATCTTTGCAGGGATATAAAAGAACAATTGAAAATATACGGGGGGGGGAGACGGACGGACGGGACACGACGACACGCACGCACAACAGCACGCACGCATGCATGTGTGTGCATGTGCACGTGAAATGCTGCCAACAGCTCTTAGGGAATAGAGAGGCTTAAACTTGTGTGGCAAGATAATACTGCAAACGCTTCAGAAGCGGCTCTGGCTTTCCTGGGACCATCAGCAGAAGCAGCAGAGGTGTTTGGGTGTGCCAACATTCCAGAAGTCTTTTCAGACATAAATACAGATCCCTTTTGTAAGGCATACAAAGGCATTTCTCTGTTCACTACAAAAGCCTAGATCCAAATCAGAAAGATATCCCAGTTGAAGTGGTAAGGGAAAAGAAAAACAAACAAACAAACAAAAACCTCAAAACAAACAAACCAACCAACCCAAAAAACCCACACCACACCTCAAAACAGAAGCAAACTAGGGAATAACAACAATAAAAAGCACTATGGCATCAAAATGAATTATCCTTGGAAAAAATTACCATATAAAAGCTTATCCTGCAGCCAGCCAGTCAGTCATTACAAAAGTACATTTGATCACACTGGAAGACATCAGGTCAAGTTTCCAGAAGACTGAGGAAAAGAATTGGTCTAAACTTGTCAGATACTTGCAAACAGTCTGCTTAGCACTGTAACCACTGAGATGAAGCCAGATCCTTAAGGCCATATGCTCAAACTTTTCTCTAACCCAAACTGACAATCAATTCAAATTCCGGAAAATATCTTACGTCAAAATAGAGCTTTATTCAGGCAATTATAGCCTGTCTATAATAGCCCATATTCCTCTTTTCTGTTAACACCTGTCAGCTTCTAAGGGGCAAAGACAGTTTTCTGTCTTCAAGTAAGTAAGTCCAATCCACAGTTCTGACGCAGGTTTAAAAACTAAACAGCCTTCGGTAGGCTGAACAGAGATGTACCAAAGTACTACAGGTTATCTGCACAAAGGGACACTTGCTAGCTGCCCCATATCAGTGGTGTGTTCGTGCAACAGAACTTAAAACCCAACAGAGACTGGCTTTACAAAAGAATTTTTAAAAAAGGACCATCTACTCTGCAAACAAAAGTAGAACATAGCAGTAAAACTTGCAAACCAAATAAAAAGCAGTATCAGTTTTCTGGATCTCCCTTCTACTGGAGAAGAAAGGAGTTCTACCAAAGAAAATTTAGAACAATTTGAAACCCCACAATTAAAAATTAACATCTGTTTGCACCTATGCCAAAACCTTAAAGCAAATCTCTTACACCCCTGAAAAGGTGGTTGCTGTGAAGTCAAACTATTAGATGCCAAAACTAAGGGCTGGTTTGGGTTCTTTTTGCAAGCCAAAGAATGCCCAAGGCAACATTAGAATTGCTTGGAAGATGAACACAGAGACAACAAAATACAATTCCCTGCCACTGCTCTTTGAAAGGAAGAATCCTCAAAAAAAGGTATCCTTTGAATGCAAAGTGTCTTCAATTCAAGCATTACCCAAAAGACTTGTTGCCCAGAAGGGAGAGCCATCAGTATTACCTGGAGGTGAAGTCATTCTACCTAAACCAAGCAAGCAGTGTAACGCAAGACAATCTCAAGAAGAAATACAACTTCTAACTCTCCTAGAATTTTGTGGGTTTGAGACAAGTTGGTATTTGGCCTCAGATGATTCTAAAGGGCTCCTGTTTTTCATGCAAACTCACAGAGCAGACAAGTGAAAGTCACTATGAAAGGAACGCTGAAAAAAATCCCGATCTTCCTCCAGATTTTTGCTTTTTTTTTTTAAAAAAAACAAACTAAAAATGAAATACATTCCTGAACTGTAAGCCACTGCACCTTATACAGAACCTTTCAGAAAGAATAATTCCTTTAAGATAAAGCTTTCAGACTTGAAGCAATTAAATAATTAGCTGCAACTAATAACTACTCCCCTAATGAACATCAAGATGCATAAATGGTTAAAATCTCTCCTAATACAATTTTTTCACAGTATTTTCCATTCCCTTGACTGGAACTGTTACTGCCCTCCCAAAAGATGACAGGCATGCAGGCTGCAGTGACAAAGGACAGCACTTGCTTTTTTCAAGTGTTTTACATTAATAGATTTGTCATACCTTTCAGATGGTTTTACTTGCTGTTCTGCAGGAAAACTCTTCTCTCTCATGACCTGCAAGTTAAGTTTGATTTCAAGATTTATCTGAATGTACTTATAAAATACACACAAACAAAGATAAACAACCACACATTTTGTGTTGGGTCTTTTTATTTATACTACTAATATACCTGACCCACTTAAGCTTGTTCCCTGACTGTGACTATCCACTTTGATCTCAGGCCTAAAAAGCCCATAGATTTAACAGCTGGTCATTTTTACATTCAGATTGATACTGGAACCATGGGTGGTTTTTTTTTCTGAAAGAGATGCCAATCTTGTTTTAAGGAAAGTTTATCTGCTCCAAAGTGATCAGAATGGGTAATTGTCAGAAATCTCACTGGGAGCCCGGAGCTCACCTGAAAGAGTTTATACACAACATCAGCATGTTCCATCAGCAACAGCTTTGTGTACAGAAGCATACGAAAAGGAAAAAGTTGTTTCTGTATTTTAATATAATTTCACTGAGGACAGCCCAACCCAATAGCGCATCATCACATTCTGAAAATAACCACCAGCCACTTACTGTTCCAAAAGTACAACTAAATCCATAAAACCTCGAAGTATCTCCTCCACAATGATTCCCACTGTCTTAATGCTTACCTCAAACATGCTATCGGTACTCTTTGCCAAGAAAGAGCACCTTAGTAGAATAATTGGTTAGAGACGTTCCAAGCTTGTAAAAAGCAAGCAGATAAGGACCAGAAAATTTACTTACTTTGTGCTTTATATCTACCCTCTGGTGAATTTTGCTGGAATCAGTAGCTGGAGTCAGAGATGGTTTAAAATACTGAGTCCGACTCACTGACAGAGAGATTGCCTTTGGTGTCACGAGTTTCTGGACAGGTGGATGCTGCGATTCCATCTTTGAAAGGGAAGCAGCAATCAATTTATCCTTGTACCCACCCAAATTACCACAGCATTTACTGATGAAAAAAGTTACAGAACTATAAACCTCCCATCAGTCTCAGCACCCAGTGAAAATTACTTGGAAGTGTTGAAAGAATTTAGCTTGCAGAGGGAAATCACCAGAAAACCAGTTCTGAAATCCAAAAAGCTACCGAAGTAGCCAAAGTCTGCCTGAATTCTATTTCAAAATTTGGCAGTTAACTTTCCAGACAAAATAATTCATGTTACTATAATCAAAATAACTCATGTTACTATAATATGCTCCCATCTTTTCCTCTCCTCTGCCCACATTGTGATATTTTTTTACTGGCTTAATCTATTAATTTAACATTTAAAGTGTTAAGCAGCTAATTATACAGGCTTCTGGGTTTCATTTTTTCTACATTTTCCTCCTTTGAAGTTACACTTAAAAAAAAAGAAAAAAGGTAAAATAATTTAAAAATAGTCTCATCCATCAAAATACATTCCAATGTTTGAGATTTGCATTAGATGCACTTCAAAGTACTGGTTTGACTTTCCTTGTCAAAGCATTTTCACAGACAAGAGTTTATTTTTAACAGAAAGCACTGTACATACTGACTTAACTGAACTGTGAAACAAGACCCTAGAAGGCTACAAGATTTACCAAAGGCTCCATCTGTAGTCTTAAGGATCAGAAGAATCAGACTTAGGATGCATGCCATTATTTAAATTAGTACCCAGAGGAAACTGTGTTTACAATGCAGCTTTAATTTCACAGTATCTCCCAACTCTTGGTAATAAAATTCATGCTGTACAATCTATAAAGTGAATAAAAGTACTTCTTTCCAAATATTATTATACTCATTTTGAAACCTTGAGAAAAAGGTAGTATAAGTTCACAACTCATTTTGAGTGAAGGATGGTCCACTGCTCTTTTTAAATGTAAACAGAATAGAACTGGAATCAGAATAGTTGAGTTGGAAGGCACCTACAACAACCATCGAAGTCCAACTGCCTGACCACTTCCAGGCTGACCAAAAGTTAAAACATGGTATTAAGGGCACTGTCCAAATGCCTTTTAAACATTGACAGGCATGGGGCATTAATCACCTCTCTAGGAAGCCTGTTCCAGGGTTTGACCACCCTCTCGGTAAAGAAATGTTTACTCATGTCAAGTCTGAATCTCCTCTGACGGACACAGCTTTGAGCCATCCCCATGTGTCAGGAAGCTGTAGAGAGCAATGAGGTCACCCCTCAGCCTCCTTCTCTCCAAACTGTACAAATCCAGTGTCCTCAGCCACTCCTCACAGGACATTCCTTACAACCACTTCACCAGCTTTGTTGCCCTCTGGTCCTCTTGAATGGACCTTCACATCCTTAAATTGTGGAGTCCAGAACCTCAAGGTGAGGCTGCACAACACTGAATACAGTGGGATAATCACCCCTCTTGACTGGCTGGTTATGCTGTGTTTGCTGCACCCAGGATGTGGTTTGCCCTCTTGGCTGCCAGGGCACACTGCTGCCTCACACTGAGCCAGCTGCCAGCCAGCACCCCTAGATCCCTTTCTGCAGGGCTGCTCTCCAGCCACTCCTCTCCCAGTTTATGCTTGTGTGCAGTGTTGCTCTGTCCCAAGTGCAGGATACTACATTTAGACTTGTTAAATTTCATGCCACTGATGATGGCCCAACACTCCAATCCATCTAGATCCCTCTGCAAGGCCTCCCATCCCTCAAGAGAGTCAACAGCAGCTCCCAGTTCAGTATCATCAGCAAACTTCCTAAGGGTTCTTCAACTCCTGCCTCTAGGCACTGATATAGATATTGAACAGCACTGGCCTCAGAATTGAGCCCTGAGGAACACCACTGGTGACGAGTTGGCCTTTAGTTTAAAACCATTACCCCTTGTCCCATCAGAACAGGGCCTGATAAAGAGTCCCTCCCCATCTTTCCTGCTGGAAGGTTGCAATAAGGTCTCCCCAGAGCCTCCTCTTCTCCAGGCTGAACAACCCCAGCTCTCTCAGCCTGTCCTCACAGGGGAGGTGCTCCAGCCCTCTGTCATTTTCATGGCCCTCCTCTGGACTCACGCCAACAGATCCATAACCTTCTTGTGCTGAAGACTCCAGAGTGGAACATGGTACTTCAGGTGAGACCCCTTGCTCAACCTGCTGGCCACACTGCTTTTCATGCATCCCAAAATACGGCTGGCTTTCTGGGCTGCGAACACATTGCTGGCTCATGTCCAGCTTTTTGTTCACCAGCACTCCCAAGTCCTTCTCTGCAGGGCTGCTCTCAATCCCTCCATCCCCCAGCCTGTATTGATACTGGGGATTGCCCTGACCTCAGTGCAGGACCTTGCACTTGGCTTTGTTGAACCTCATGAGGTTCACCTGGACCCACTTCTTGAGCTTGTCCAAGTCCCTCTGGATGCCATCCTGTTCCTCAGGTGTGTCAACCGCACCACTCAACTTGGTGTCATCTGCAGACTTGCTGAGGGTACACTCAATCCCACTGTCTATGGCACGGATGAAGATCCAGCATCTGTTCTTGTTCAATTTCATGCCACTGATGATGGCCCAACTCTCCAACCTATTTATCTCCCTCTGCAAGGCCTCCTGTTCCTCAGGAGAGTCAGCAGCAGCTCCCAGTTCAGTATCATCAGCAAACTTGCTAAGGGTGCTTCAACTCCTGCCTCCAGATCATTGATAAAGATATTGAACAGCACTGGCCTCAGAATTGAGCCCTGAGGAACACCACTGGTGACCAGTTGCCAGCCACATGTAGCCCCCCTCACTGCAACCCTTTGTGCCTTGCGTTCAGCCAGTTCTTCACCCAGCGCACTGTCTACCTGCTCATCCCACAGATGGACAACTTGTCCAGAAGGATGCTGGAGGGACAGTACCAAAAGCCTTACTGAAATCCAGAACAACTACATCTGCCACCTTCCCTTTGTCCACTAGGTGGGTGACCTTAGCATAGAAGGATATCAAATTAGTGAAATGGGAATGTACAATGAAAAAAATAAGTCACCCAGATATTTAATACAGTAACAGCTATTCTGTCTGGTGCAGATCCTCAAAATTAGAAAGATACCACAAAAAATACTTGCAAAAGTTTTGCCTGAATGCTCAAGTGTTCTGTCAACCATATGTTTGCTTTAGCAAGAAAACACACAACCCTCTCCTTGGAACCCACAACCCTCTCCTCCCCTTCTCATCAAGGGCTACCCTTCCCCGGCCAAACTTTATGAATTCTAGTATTATGAAAAGACAATTTCTCTACTTTTACCCAGTGACAGCTGCGTGCAACATTCGCTTTCTGACTGACGTCAGGTTCTATGCTGCAAATCTGGCAGATCTCTCTTAATGCCTCATCACAGGTGTAGTTCCACAATTTAACTGAGAATCCACACCAGCTTTGTTTTCAATTATTTGGATAATATTTATGGTAAAGAAATTATATGCTCTACTTTTCAATGTTCTTCTAATTTAGCATATAGCCAAAGATGGTACAGGAAATCCAAGATGTTTGTAAACTCTGAAGTGACTATAAAATTAATTATACTTCTAATCAAGGGATTAGCACAGAAACTTCTTGAGACATTCTGCCCATTTTCTCATTAAAACAGCAGCTGAAAAGTCTGCATGAAAGAAAAACCACACTTTTGTTCCTTCGGTTGTCGCACCTTAAAGTGGTCTTTTCTTGGTTTTAGAATTTAACTTGGGGTATCACTGAATTAAAGTGATTAAAAAACATTACTATTTTTTTTTTTTTTAAAGAAAAAAAAAAAAAGAAAGAAAGAATGATTTACCACAGCATTACCACCATTTCAGTGCTTCATCCAAACAGGAATTTAGGAACAGAAGGTTACAGAAATTACAACATTTAACAAGTTTCCTTCTCCCCTCCTTGAGCAGTATATAAAAAAACATTAGTAATATTTTTCTGCTCGAAATGAACACGGAAATCTGCACAAGGTCTGTATGATCACTCAATCAATATTTTTCTATTTCTGATCATTTCTGCAAGAGAAAGCTTTCCTAAACAGAAAGATTAACATGCAACTTAAGCCCAGGCTGCAGGACAAGATAAAACTACTTTCGTGTGTTCTAGAGAAGTTGTTCTTGATTGACATATCAGAATACCACCACATAAAGACCATATAATTCTTAACCTGAGTAATCTTCACAGTCCTTCATCTAATGTGAGTAGAAAAGACACTTTTAGTAATTTCCACACAGCCAAGACAGCTGTAATTCACATAGTGCTAATATTAACTTGAATTCATGTGTATGTGGTCATTGAGGTTTGTGACATTTCTTCTAATATGTACAAAGCACAGAAAGTTATCCATCCCCACTTCGGATGTTTCTGGTTCTTACCTGTTTTCGTTTGGACTGGAAGCTAGTAATATTCAGAACATTCCTGTCCACAGGCTAAGGGGGAACAAAAGCCTAAATATTAGAGGACAAATTTTTTCCTAAGAGAGCGTCCATTCAACAAGAACATGGGGGTTTTGTGATCAACTTACAGAAGACAGTGGACTAGAACCAGAAGATGGAATCCTTTTAGCATCCTGTTGAAAAAACAGTGCAATAGATTAAAACTGGACACTACATAAGGAAGATCTTCATCCTATATTGGCACATTTGCTATGTTTTTCAAGCACACAAAATAAAACAGATTAAAAGGAGTGCCATTTACCGCCAAAGGACTTGACATCTTCTCCAATGACTGCAAGATACGCCGTGCTGTGGAACTTGTCACACCATAGGATTGCACACTCGCTTGTTTAGCTTTCATTTGTCTTCTTACTGGTGGCTGAAAAATTAGCATTGCAAATATTATGATGCTTAATTTTCAATTAAACATGCATGTATGTTATGCCCTATGGCTACACTGATGATATAACCAATACTCTTGTGATGACAGAGAAAAATGCACTCCCTGGGCATTCTAGGCATGAAGAAGGAAACATACACTACCGACTTTACAGATGTTTAAGTGGGGCCCCATTTGTACACAGGATAAAGCAACAAAAGAAATACTTAAATGGAAAAGGTCATGAAAAGGAAGATGTTAGGCCTGTAGGGTCTCTGAAGCAGTAATCGGGAAAACAGAACTGAAGCAAAGGCTTGTGCTGCAGAAAGTATTTTCAGTAACAAAACAGATCTCAGAGTTTCATGACGGTGTAAGCATACCATCTTGAAACCAACGCATACAATCACCATCAGACCTTTCTAGTTTTACTTCTCTCGTTTCCTCCCTTCCCCCAAGATTACAGTTGACGGCAGATCTTTTTACTGTTTAAAAAGATAAAGATCTGATTTGAACTCTTAAGAGATCTAAACCTATTACACCAAAAAACAAACCGTTTTATTTGCACCATGTGATTTTGAATATAAGTCAAAAAATCTTCTTTCAGTGTGATTTTTGGCTTTTTTTAATTATGTTAAACCCCTCACGTAACCACATCATGCTTACCACACTGCTATATGAAGACAGGAAACGGACCATACAGCATATAAAAAAACACCAGCAAGACTTGCCATAATCCACAGCATGCAGCAACAAGCAAGCTAGTCTCTTTTTAAAAAGCTTAGTATTTTGGTTCCTCTTTTCAGCATAATACATATTTATTTTGTAAAAAGTAAAAACAGCTGACCAAAGAGGTCTCCTAGCTTACAGGAAGTTTTGAGTGTTCTGAAGTTTGATTTAACACCAAGTCAGAACAAACTACAAGTTTTCAAGGTTTCCCCTAAGTCAGGTCCCCTTGTAGGTCCCCTTGTTCCATGGTAGAGACTGCCAGAGTAGGTCCAGCAAACTCTTAGTCCAGTTCCTTAAATAAAGTTCCTTTTGACTTTTGATTTTTTTTTTTTTTTAAATAAAAGCTATTTTGATTCGAACACTTTCCAACCAAACCAGATTGTACTGACTTCCTTTTAGATTCAACTCTAGCTACTGAGAGTTGTCAGCATTTTTAATTTGCTGGTTCATTTCAGAACACAGAAATCTTACGGGCAAGTAACTCTTTTCAAGAGCTATCTGAATGATATTAAAATAGAAAGTATTTTATTGTTTATCTTGAGATTGCATTTATGACTGCATGCCTCCCTCTAGGTAACAGAAGAGCAAAGAATCAGCAAAGTTGCCTTTTAGATACTACTACAGTAAAGAGTGCACAGTTCTATACAATATATTCATAGCACGAGTGTAGGCATGCTTGTGTGAGATCTACAGACAAGTATCAGGCAGGTAGCTTTTCCTACCATAAACTACCAAAAACAAGTTTTCAAAGTTATCCCATCATTGGTTTTATTTACATGTTATTTTAACATAATACGGTCAGAGGCAGACAGTGGCAGAAAATGGAATTTTTGGAAAGACTTAACAACAGAAGCAATCCCAACTACAAACACCTAGCCAGAACCTAAGATGCTACTGTCATTCTTGTGCATTATGGTAAGTATTTCTACGTAAACTGTTAAAAAATAATTAACAGAAATTGTTCTTTTCTACTCATGTAGGCTGAGAGGGCAAATTAGGAACTGTTGCCACATTTTCAGCTCCTTGCTCACAGCTCTTCTGGCAGTGCTACTCCTTCTGGATTTGAACTACGTTTTTCCTCACACCACGCTACTATTTTCACATACCTGATAAGGAGCGATTCGCACTTTTGTCTCCCTTGCTGCTGCAGCTGCACCACCATAAGTGGTCTTTCCAGGGTAAAATGGGGAATCCCCAAGTTGGCTTGTCTTAAAGACAGAAGTGTTTCCAAGTGACTACAGAAAGGTATTATGAGAAGTGGTTAGTAAAATGGCTACACATTCAAATTGATCAAAATTAATACTGTGCAGTACTTACAGGAGAGGGAGATCCAAAAGCAGATAAATTGAATGCAGGTTTTTTAGAGCTAGCTGCAGGATGCTGTGAGAGGGAATGAGATCTTTCAGCCTCTGCGGACCAGAGCAGTGGTGCTGAAGTATTTTTTGAAACTGTGATATCTGCCAAAATGACACGTGCAATACGTAAATGCCTTGTGTACATAGAGAATTTTAATATTAAAAATCAAACTCCAGAGTTCTTTAACACACAAAAATAAGTCTTACAGAATGAAAAACTCCCGTACACTCATTTCTCCAGCACTCTAACCTTCAGAGTTCTTCAAACAGATCAATTTCACATATGATATGAAAACCAAGTACCAACTCTGAACGTGAAATCTGTTCACAGAACTGCAAATACGTTACCTTTCAGTAATCTTTCAAAAGCATGCACAACAAGTCAATAGTATGCTTCCAATGTAGAGCAAATTTATTTTTTCTTCTTTCATGATAAAATAAAAGGGAACTGCATAAACACTGGTGCATCTATAATGATAGAAAATTTTTCCTATGTTGGTAAAAGGTTGGAGCCCAGCATAGGTCAGAATTGCACAGGATTTAAATGTGAAAAATTCCCCAAAGGCTGAACTAAGAGAGTTAATGACCTATTTTCCATGTATGTTTTATGGAGACACACCAGAAAGCTCTACTGAACTCAGGTTATATTGCTAAACCCTGGCAACATCTACTCCAAAATGTAAAAATATGTTCTCAAGAGAACTTGCCAAGCACGCCTCAATCCTCTTTTATATGAGGGTCTAGAAAAAGCTGCAAACCTGCTGTTTGCCCTTTCTCATTGGGATCACCTAGGCCCCCATCTACATCAACACAATGTTTATTTTTTTTAACTTTAAAATGGTGTACATTCCTTACTGAATTCAGCAAAAGACATGGCAGTATTGACAACTGATGCCTTCTATCAAGAAAGGTCAAAAAAGCAGCCCAAAACTTGTTCAGTCAGAATAGTTTCTTTATTGACGCCTTGTAAAAACACTGGAAACCAACCGGTGTTTCTATTTGTCACCTATATTTATGCACTTTTAACCAGCTGTCAGTTAGATATTCCGAGTCACTCTTCTGTCTAGGCAATCAACCTAGCTGTCAAGCTACAGCGAGTCATCCTCAGTTCCTAATATCCCAGTTCAAGATTGACAGATAACCTAGCTAAAAGTGTGTTTAATTAGCACCAACTCTTTGTAACATCAGGGTCTCATAAATGTACTCCAAACCATGGTTATCTTTAAAGGGTGACAGGATTATATACTTCTGAAATACTAAAAACTAAATGTGATTCTCACATGCAAAGCTGACATTCACATACTTTATTTACTAAGGTGATGTGGAATATTAAACAATGCAAAGTACTTCATGTAACCAAAACAATCAATTAGAGAACAAAAAAGTTACCTTTATCAGACGCTCTAGAGGAGAAGCCACTGGTTGTTGAGATGTTATCGTCATCGTGCTGAGAGGTAGAATCTTTTATTTCTTTTACAAGAGACAGTCCAGGACTGCCAATGCCAAGTGAAGAAGATGTAGAGGGCTGACAATGTGGTACTGTGGAATCCAACACGGTGCAGTTCAAATGGCTCCGATGAAGAGAGGGCCTTGTTAACACATCTGAGAAGTTCAATGTAGACCTACTCGTGGATGGTTCTAAACAAGAACAGGGAGACAATTAGCTTCCCTATAGGCAAGTTCGCAGAAGCCAAAACCTGTTTTCTACCAACACCCATGCTACTGCCAAGTTCTAAGAACAAAAATAGAGATGCCGAATTTAACTTCTTCCTCACCCAGATAGGGTTTCATCTGTCTGATTACAACAGCCACACTGCTTGCAATACTAAACGTTAATGTCGCATTAAGAAGAGGTTAATGATGAGGTTTTACAAGAGCAAATCTGACCTCATGCTCATGTACTCTAACACTGGGTCTTTCACTAAACCAAACATGTATAAATTCCTTCTTCTGCAGATAAAGCTTCCAATAAGCTTTCCAAAATTTGCGATCACATGGTGAGTTACAGACAACTCTGCAGTTTATATAATCTGGTAACAAAGATTATGTTAATCTGAATACATAACATGAAAATGTATATTTGCAGAGATTTGGGGGGGGGGGGGGTTTAAATTGTCCCCCTTCCCAAATTCTACCATATCAGGACATGCTACAAGCAAAACATTATCTCTTATCCATTAACTTTTGAGACTTTGGCACAAGGTCAAGTAAGCATCATGGCCTCAGTTGCAAGATGTGTATTTTTTCCTCAGGAACCAAAGGGACTGTAAACACTGTCAGTGTCCTGCGAGAGGTGGTCTCACAGCTCCAACTTGACACATGAACGAAATAGCTATTAATGGATATCTTGCCTGATACCTATTTAAGTCCACAGTCCTTCGTGGGAGTTCTGGGTATGAACATGATTTTGAGTCACTATCTTCTTGATATTTGCACTGAAGCTTAAACTAGCTAGTTTGATCTTCATATCCACCATAGTACTAGAAACTAGTTCTCCAAAGCACTGGTGGATTTTTACAACTGTCTTGTTTGAGATAAAAAAAGTGTTATCAGGCTGAAGGTTGGACAACCAAAGGAGTATGGGCTCTGGCACACTGGTACCTGAGGTGAAGAAACAGGCCTTCTAAAATGATAATAGTAATAAAAAATATTATTATTAACTATAGCAAGAAAGATCCATCTGCAACATCCACAGACTGTGTAACACAAGCTACTAAAGGTTCTAGGGTGTCCATCTGCTCCTGATTTCTTGGAGCTAGAAAGTTGGCTGTGCAGCTGTTCTTACTGAAAGGTCCTTTTACACAGTTCTTCAGGAAAGCCGACACGTGTTCCTCATTCATGAAGACCTTCTCTATTCCTTTATCCAAACTTATTCTCAAGCTACAGCTACACAGAAAGCAATAAAGCTCCTTATTTACAACTAGATGACATTAGCAACAAAGGTATTTCCTCATTATTTTTCATTCTGCCAACAACAGAAGCAAAACAAACAGATGGTTATGCACATGTGCTCAGACAAAACTTTTCTCCTTATTAAAAATAAGGTTCCACAAAACTGCTAATTTAAGAGAAACTCAAATAAGACCAAGTGCAAATTTACAGAGGAGAACTACAGAAACAGCACGATACATATAAAACACAGATTAATCTTTTATACGGTAAAGTAAGGGGTTGAGAACTTCTTTGACAAGGGTTCAAATAGGTTTTCAAAGACCCCACGCTAGCCACGCATACACCTTAATGTTACCAAGTATTTCAAAAAGAGTTACATCATAAACCATGCTCCCCAGTCCTCCATTAAACAAACAAGGAACTTTACTAAATTGATTGAAGAAGACCAAAGGAAAAAAAAAAAAAATCAGGACATAAGAAAGAATTTTCCACTGGCATTCCAGCATCTGGTCTTTTGTTTTGAGGACAACAAAACAAATTAATGTTTTTATTACCTTAGGCAATCAGATAAGACTTTCATTCTAGACCTTTTAAAAAGAAAATGTAACCCAGGACACTTGCAAATGAATATAATTAATGTTTTGCACCTGGTTAACTGACTACCTGAACTTAACTCATGACTTCCAAGAGCTGTAAGACAACCTCCAACAGGTTTCGCAATTATGCTTACACTTTAAAGCTAAGACAGTTTCACAAACAGTTATTGGGGGTTTTTTAATTGGTTTTGGGGCATTTTGTTTTTGTTTGGGAGTGGGGTGTGTCTTTTGGTTGTGGGGTTTTGGTTTTGGTTTTTTTTCATTCATTCTGTCAAAATGCTCCTTCCAGCTTCCCTTAGAAATTTAGATTCAAAACTAGGAATCTGTGAATAAATACAGATGGCCAGAATACTGAATAATTTTTCACATACCTTCTAAATTAATTCTTGCTGATTCAGGCGTGACTCTCCCATCAATCACTATGGTATCTTCATTTGCATAATCATGGTGATAGTTTACTGGATTCTCTTCCTGGTTTGTAGATTCATTTGTATCGACACATTCATCTTCACTTCTATTGAAATACTTCTGTAACCATCCTGGTACAATGTTTTTCACTGATTCTGTCACTCTGCTAATAATTCCCTGCTTGAAAGAAAAAACACTTGTTAATTACAGAAATACAGTCAGCAGCATACGCTGGGATGCAACCTTGCACAGACCTTGGAGACAGACATTAGATATCAAATATTCAGGACAGGAATAAGATCGAGGGGGTTGATCCTTGACATAGGATCTCTGTACTTCTGGACACACATGACAAAAATTCACCTAACGTTGGTTCACTACTAACCTATCAGTTTCTGCACTTCGCAGTGACCTTGGCAATGTTCAAAATTCTGGAATTTCAAACAAAGTTCACCAGAGGTTTGTCAAGTCAGAAGGTCATCAGGAAGTTCTATTTCTAAATAACTCCTGATGTACATACTTTTTTTGAGGACTTCTCCTTTTAACACCTTCATGTGAAAAACCATCAAAACCAGAAGCTGAGCAATTATCTACAGTGATAGTGATGACCATGATAGCTGCTAAAATCAGTGAACTTAAATATTTCTGATTTTTCTAATGCTGAACTGTAGTAACAATGTATATCAGAAAACCACTGTCATGCTCTGAACAGTCAGGGTACCCTGGAAGAAACAGATATAGTTGAATAACTGGTACCTCACTACAAGACTCTTAAATAGATCCATTTTGATCAAATTTCATTTCATGGTATGTTAAAGATTTGGATCTCCAAACCTTAATATTCTGGAATTACTGAATACATAAAAGTAATTTCCATTTTGACATTTACCAATTATTTGCAACGCTTACACTTAAGAAATATTTATTTACCATTTTGTTTTAGGTAGTCACTTGTTCCCCATCATGCCCTCAAAATTTCAACACACCTTCCTGTCAAATCTCAACCCCACGCAGCAGATCGCTTGCAGCATGGAGCTCCCTCCCTCTTACGCTGACTGCAGCCACAGAACCAGCTGCTAAACTCTGCAAGCCAACATGAAAGCTAACTCTGCAATTTCAACACTTTGGAAACTGAAAAGTAACAGGAGTTAAACAGATTTTTGATGAACTCTGTTGTCAGTTGCTAACACATGTACCAAAGGCTCTGGCAAGGTACTTTGATATTTTTCCAGTTTTAGGCAACAAAATTTTCTAGTCAAAATTATTATTCAGGTGTAGAAAACTGCAAATAGTCTTTGCACATGTAATAGTTACAGTCTAGTAAAAATACTGAAACAACTCCGCTGTATTCAACTTTCTTAAAAAATTTAGCACACAAATGAAAAAAGAAGCCCATATCACTCAAGTCTTTCATACGCGATAATGCAAACACAAACTTACAGAAATTATAAACAAACTAGACACCCTTGAATCTGGAGTGAAGAGGGAGGCGGGGAAAAAGGAAGAAGGGAAGGTAGAAAACAAAAAGCCTTTTCACAGAAAGAAAGTCATCTTAATTTACAATTTGACATTTTTCATCATAATCTGTAATTTCACCTTGTACTTGCACAAAGACAGAATAAATACATCCAGAGACAGTTTAAACCACACAGAATACAGCACACATCCATCCCAATTACCACACTAAGATGCACAGATGCTTAGGATGTTGCTGCTATTCTATATAATACTAAGCCACAACTTTCCTATAAAAACTACTAACTGCATGCAACACCAGAGTTCACCACTAGTTCAGTGCACAGTACCAGCAAAAAGGCGGTCCCTGATCTGTCCCCAGCCCCTCATTTCCACCTTTGCCTCTGACACACTGGCCCCTTTTGGGGGGCCAAATATTTTGCTGCTATGAATAAAGTCGTATTGGGAACTCACAGGAGTTAAAACCTGCCAAAATGAGCAAATGGTCAGAACACAAACTGCATCCAAGGCAATGCTCTTTCCAGAAAGCTAAGCACTACTGCATTCAGTATTGCTAGAGAGTTTCTCCATCAGAGAATAGATACTATTGGCCATAAAATAGGCCTGTATGATTCTCTTTCTGAAGAAATCCTCCCAGGACTGAAAGCTATCTGAGACTCAAGATGGAAGAAGTCAAAGGCATCCAGAAGAGTAAACACCTGAGCATTAGTAATCTAAATGAGTAACTGGAGAATCTAGCTAGACTAATAATTAACCAAGTTGACATTTTACCATCCATATCTAAAACCAGACTGGTTTGACCCTTTCTTGCATATGGCAGCCATGCTGGCATTCTCCACATCATCAGCACCACAAGAGCAAGCTGGCTAACACAGTGTAACTTCCCAAACCAATCCAGGAGCTGGAACTCGCTCAGCGCAGCTGTACTGTAGCAAGTACTAATAGCCTGCTCCATCTGGCTTAGGCACAGTGGAAGACAAGAAGCACAGTTTTATGCTCCAGAATACTGCTGGCTTAGTGACAAAGCAAGGAAAAGCAACATACATGGAAACATACCTCCATTTTCTCTCTGCAAAATTAAAATATTGATCAAAGGCACTGTGAAAGAACTATGCATTATGAAGGAGCCATCATCAAACACAGACTTGCTAAAAAAACCCACATCCCCTTTAAGCAAGCACCACACACCCCAGGTATGCCCATTTACCAAAACCAAAAAGGAAAAGGAAAATTCCCTTATGGCATCTCCTACCTGCTCATCGCAGCTCAAAGCCAATCACTAAAGCACCACAGCTGGATTCCTGATTCCAGCCCAAGTCAGGCAGTTAAGGTACCACTGACCAGCTACCCTTTTAAACATGCATACTCCGCATTCTTGCCAGGACACTTCAGCAAAGCCTCATGCCTTACATTGTCTTTAAAGCTGGCATTTTAATCTTACCCTAACTTGTAGTTTTCTTATTCTTCAACTTCAGCACATGTGTTTGAACACCTCTCTCCCCTCTGCCTGCACAAGGAGCATAAGCCCACCCTGTCCACAGCAGAGCCCTCTCCCTCTACTGTTCCTGTGCCACCAGTCTCTACTTTATCCATCCCACGTTCCCCAGCGCTACCATCTCCCCATGCAGGCATCATTAATTCTTCTAGAAGGCTGACATGGATATTACACATCTCACTGATGCAAATGGATCTTCAGAGGTGAAATACAAAAGACATGGCACAAGACAACTCTTTAACAGGCTTATTTCTCCAGCAAAATCTGAGAGGACTGCTCAGATCCCAATCTCCTCATGCCACAATTACGTACCAGTCCCTTCCTTCATTCACTACAGCTACACCGAACACGCTACTGCACAAAAACTCTTCTAGTACCCAGCCACAGGTTTGGAGTGGAGGAAGCAGCGTTGGCATGTAGCTTTTAACACTCAGAATTCCTCATTTCTACAAGCCACAGAGGCACCAAACTGAGTATCGTGAAAGGGCAGAATCCTGGCTGCACGTAGCAGTGTTTCAGTCAGTGAATGTTTTAGTCCTTAACTGATTGATTTCAGCAGTTTGAGAGCTGCTGTCAGTACCAACAGTTATCTGCTCATCTTAAATGCACTCATACTCTATTCTCATCCTAAAATATCATCAGGAAGGCAGAACGAAACAAAAAATGCACAGAAAAGATCCAGTAGCTTAGGAATAGGTATTTACAACAGTTTTTCAAATTCTGTACGTCATCCCAAGTGTCTGCAGCTCAGCTAGATATATCTAAGTCTGTGTTATACAAACACCACAGCAACAGTAACTACAGCTACAGTTACTCAAGGCATATTGCCTTGATATACAACTCTAAGCAAAACAGCTGTAGATAGAAATACTAATCAGTAAACAAACAGGTGTCATAATTTACTACTTTAAAATACCATTTCTCAAAGGATTTATACAAAGAAAGAAAAATCAATAGGTTATGGTCACAGTTCAACCTCCAAACTTAGAAGCAGGCTATTTCTTGGCCAAAAACATTTACAGAACAGGACAGTTTTCCCAGCTTGTAAGGGTCTTTCTCATAGCATAGAGGGGGGAAGAAATGCTGGCAGGAGTACTCAGCAATGATGCATTACTAGAAAACATCTGGTTTTGTAATTGAGTTGATTTCAGTCTAAGAGGCTTAAGTAAATCCCACTATACAACACAGGACGTATTAAAAAAATTATACATAAATTACCTAAAGGTCATACACTAACATAAATTTGTCAGAGAAGCAAAATACACAACCGGATAAAAGAGTTAATTTCCACTTCACTGTATGCACACCGCTGAAAAGCATCATTTTAACCTCCAGGCCTCTCAGAGATGTCTTTGCTTCCCATTTCAAAGTTCAAGTTGTTAAAACATACGGATCGGTAAGTCCTCAAAAAGAAAATGTGCACCTAATAGTGAAGTTCACAGAGACAGAGCAGTTCAATCTAACCACTTCCAACTATCAAAAAGCAATTTTTGTGCTCTCTCCATCCCCCACGGTTACCTCATGCCAGCTCTGGCACATAGCAGGCTACTCTCCGTACTAGCTGAGTTCATTAATCTGGCAAAAAGTACGTGTTTCTCTGCTGGACTAATGAGTTCAACTGGCTCAGTGCACCAGAACGGGTACGAGAGAGAGCAAGATCAGCCAGCCAGGACAAGAGGAAAACGAAGCAAAATTTCTCCTTCTTTTAACCATCTTGTGTCGGTACTCCCACTAAAGAGATTGTCCCTTTCTCTTCAACTCACCCTGCCCTGGTGCTGCTGCTAGCACATACACCCAGCCAAGTGACAAACTGTATCAGGGCAGTGTCAAATACATCCAGCCAAAAATTCGTCTATAGACTGTGACGACGCGTACCCTTCAGGGGCATCAGGTCACTGGTCCAGCTCACCCTGTGGCTGCACAGGTGCTAGAAACAGAAACACGCCATGATTACCTCTTGCAGTGGCAGACTGAGACTGGCTTAGACTAACTCTGCTTTTGCTATTTAGAGAGCGGTTTTCATTTGGATGTAGGACAGCAGAGTTTGATATTTCTTTTAGAAAAAAAGACAATAAAACTTATGACTTAATATGAACAATATGT